ACCTTTAATGGATTGTCTCCCAACCTTGCTGGAAATTCAGGGGTGCTGGAGCTTTCTTGGTCATGAAGGACCACCACAGCTGCCAACAAACTCCTCCAGACATGCTTACCTACAGGCTTGTTGTGAATCCCTGCAGGAAACTAACCCTTAAAACTTTACTCAGACACTAAGTTTGCATTGCAATCAATCTCGTAACAGCTGGGAGCTGCAGGAACATCACACCCCCCAAAAGGGGAGTTAGAGGTTGCTTTCAACATGATGTCAGTTAAACCAGCACTACTGAAGGGCAAGGCACTTCAACAGTAATATACCACATGTTCAGGAACTAAGATTATTTTAGAGGAGCGCCTAGGAAGACACTTTTATGTACGTGTAAGATAGTTCATCTCATGCCACAGTGTCACAGCAGCACAGAGTCTCCTAATGCAGCTGCATATCCAGAAAGGCCACTTTGGGGTATCTCCCTATCAAAGTAATTCTTCACAGAATCCCAAGGGTTGGAAGGGACCTCAAGAGATCATCTGGTCCAACCCCCCTGCAAGAGCAGCGTAACCTAGAGTACATCACACAGGAACTTGTCCAGGTGGGCCTTGAATATCTCCAATGTGGGAGACTCCACAACCCCCCTGGGTTCTTCAGATATGTTACAGTTAATATGCCTCATTCCCTGAGGTTTCTGAGCCATCATTCCCCCCCCACTAACAATGCTGTTCATACCACCCTCCCCGGGTATTATTGACAGTGCAGCATGCTCTTAAGTTCCATGTGTCCCAGTGAGTTCAGCCTAGGTTTTCCTTCCTCAGGATTGCAGCATATATCCCAAGTCATATTCAAATCACATTACCACTTCAAGGTGTTTAAGGCATTCCCACAGAGGAATCCAATTGCTCCAGTACCACCCCACAAACCCTTAGCCTGACCTTTCTGGCTACAACTGCCCAGAGCCTGGACATGCTAGAAAACATACACAAGTTTTGTCTCAAGCACTGTGGTGCAGTTTCCTCTCCCTCTTTGTTAACCACTGTTACAACATGCAACCAAGCACCACCGTTAGCAAGATGTGCAATTACCCTGTTTGAAATCTCCCTTTCAAGTTTATCAGACTGCAAATGCACAAGGTCTCTGTATGCTCCAGAGGGGTAGAGTTAAAAACCATCTCCCCTAGCTCACAGATTTCTCATACTGATGGCATCTTTCCCACTGCCCCAACTTCTCTGCCCTGACCAGCCCTTACACAGAGAAACATTTTAGTTTGTTGGTGTCCTACACAAGCGAATTTTAGTCCTCAGGGTATCATATAAAGCTGTTAAATCAGATTCTCAGTCACACGAAGATGGCTTTGTAAGAAGCTAATGACAAAAAGGATCTTTGAAAAGCTCTTTCACTGCCATGTGAGAAATTAGACCCACTTCACACTTAAGTTATTGACAAAATACTTTGATATGCTGTGAAGAACATGAAACCTCCCAGAAGCACAGTTGAAGCAGCTGCAGCATCAGTGTGATCAGAGATTATGCCACATGCCCTGACTACTGTGGGCTGTGCTGAAGGAGTACTTTAGATCCCCTACTCTAGATACCTGATTTCAGTCAACCACCCTTTGGTCTCAATAAACATAAGAGCACCCCTTTGGAGTAAAGGGACTGAAATAATAAGAAACAGAGCATCCAAAATGAAGGCCAGATGTGTGGCAGGCTGGGAGGAGGGCTGCACAGTCACAGGCCTGTCCTTGCCATGCAGCATCCTGGCTGGAAGCATACATGCAGGAGCCAACTCTTAGCAAGGGCGTCTGCTACCAGCTCTCCCATAGATGTGCCCCAGATCTCTCAGTGACAGGGGAACAGGAAAAACATACAGCATTGAATCACCCCACAGCAGTAGCAGAGAACAGGCACAGCAACATCCACAGCTCAGCCAGGAGAAACATACGCAGCTTTCTGGGTAGGAAACAAGACCCAGCATTTGGGAAAATAAGCACAAGGAAACAAGTCGGGGGGGGAGGGGTCAGGCCAGGGTTTGTTGTTGGAGTTTTGTTATCTTTTATCTCCCCAGCAAAACAAAGCCCACCAGACCTCCAGCACTGTAGTCCACCCTGGTCAAGAGGCAGTGGTACCACCACTTGATTCACTCACCAATACTTATGCCTTCAGGGCATAGTATTAGCAAATGAATTTCCACCATGCAGCTAACTAGCAGAGGGATTGCACAGAGGCAATAACATTCTATGATTTACCTAGGAGAGTCTCACTACCAGCACCTCTCACTGCAGTGCATGCTACAGTTCTGGTCATGCTGCTTAACGGCAGCATTTCCCCAATTTTTGGGTTAACAGCAGCAGAGACCAACCCAGCCAGTACAGTTGTCCTTTTGTGTTTTACTGTATGCGATCCTTAAGATCCAACACACTTTCTGGCTTGAGAACCATGTCCCCTTATGCCTGCATTTTACGAAGAGCTCCTTGGCTCTACAGCTACTACTGAGAAACACCAGCAAAGAGAATGAGGTCCTTAACCTTGCTAGAGCATCAGTATCAAGGTTGCAGCAGCCTCCTCCATCATGTGGAGGCCCATAGACAAAATTGCTCAAACATGAGATTTCAGCAACTGAACATGCAGAGGAACAAAACGGACATCCAAGTGGCAAGTGGAAAGAACCACAGTTAAAACCAAACCACAGCAGTCTCGAAAGAAAGTAGTAACAGTCAAACATCTCCCGCTCAGAAATTATTTGGTGCCTAGCAGTCTGAGATACTTCACACTTAAGCAGGCACGTGGTCCTCCATGGCCCCACATCTGGGTGGAGAACCACTGTGAGCTACGTGAAAGTCTTCACACAGATATTTAGAATTCAGAGATAAGTAAGAGAGGACAGAGCTCACTCCACTTGCAGAAAACCCTTTCCTCTCACAAATGCAACTGTTCCTTTTGATCCCTGCAAATGTCTGTGACGCAACTTGAGCTGGAGAAGCCTACATGGAAGCACTCACTGGAACATCGATCCCCCTTACACAGGATGAAAGGAGAGGTGGCAAACGACCTCACCACCTCAACTGGCCTCAGAAATCAGTCCAGAGATTGCCAAACCCTTGCAGGAAATGACAGCAGTAAGCCCTGCCAGACCCAGCCCCAGCTTGATAAGCAGGCAGGGAGAGAGCAAGGCTACCCGGCTCCCAGAGCAGTGGAGCTCACACACAAGACACCTCAGCAGTAATGGAAATATCACACAGGAAGGAGGCTCTTCTCGACTGCCATTAATGCTAAACTACTGAAAACAAATAATTCCAAAACTGACTGACAGCAAATACACAGAGTACGCAGCAGAGCTCAACAAAGTCAGGCCCCTGCAGCATGAAGCCCAGCACAAGTGCACAGGAAGATCCATTTCTTTGTTCTCAGAGCTTGAGGAACTGGTGCCCTGACTCACACACACTATTACTCAGTGCAATCAAAAGCATGCTGGTCCAGTGGGTCCCAGCTACTCAACTGCCAGGTTTGTACTATAAGGGATGTCTACACCCACAAACATCACTTCTGCAGCATCTCAAAGAGTTGCAACAAGCTGTATAAAGAGGATCAAGACCATTTTTCACCTATTCTCTTTTTGGGAGCCAGTCTAACCCCCCTGCCCACTTATCAATGTCACTGTGTTTCAAAGAGGCAAAAGGCAACAGTAAATGCAGAGCTGACAGTTTGTGAAACTGGGAATTTAGTAAGTGTAATGGATAACAGAATATCCCTTGGTTTAAATCAGGGTAAATAAATCACTAGAAGTAGCCACTGCAAGCAATTTAGACCAAGTAAATATCTAATCTCTTCTGGCTGATCACTTAGTGAAATACACTGCAACACTTAAAAACTTTCCTATATGAAACACTGAAAATGTCTGGGTTGCCTCTTTTCTTATCAGAAGAGTGTACTTACTCTTCTCAACACTGGGAGTTCAGCTTCCTCTCTCTTCCACTCATACCTCTTTATCCCCCTTTGAATTCACCCACTGAGTCGTGAGTTTGGGAATGTATTATTCATAGGAAGAAAAAAATAAAAGGAAAGTGTAAAACATAAGTAGTATATCATTCTCTTTCCCTTTAACACCAGCTGGCTACACTACAGCAACTAAATCATATTAGCCGTTTTAACTGCATGCTGTGCTGCACTTCTGCCAGTGCCCTTGGCTGACCCATGCCTCTGTCCTGCACACCAAGGAGGGAGTTGGCAGGAGGAGCTAGCAGCCAAGGTGCCTTCTGGGCTGCTTGAGCGGAAGAGTCCAGTATCACCACAGCGCATGCTGCCACTGCCTTAGCAAGGTGGGCTTGGGCAAGCTGCAGGTGAATGTGCCCCATGCATGATATTATCCAGAGCTGGGAGACCACATGCTTATCAAAGTTGTTAATAACTGGCTGGAAATAATTTCATTAGCTGTCATGTTATTTTCTTTCTAGGTTTGCCTTATTCCATATTCTTGTGTCATGTCATTTCTGCTAAACAAAACCAAAAAAGCCAGATGAGAAGCAGCATGTTGGAACAAGCACACAGAAATGGTTTGCTTCCATCTTATTTGAAAGATTTATCACATGTTCCAGGTTAATCTGTTAGGAAGCATTATTCTAACAAGGTGTGGCCTGCATTTCTATAATGTATGAAAGATTTTCTTCCAGATTTATGTGCTCCCTCATATAGTCCATATGTTGTGTATATTGTAAACTGGGGTGATAAAGACTCAGGACTTTTTCTGAGACTCAAGTGCTAGGGTTTTTTCTTCCCCAGTAGGAAAGTTACAGATACAACTAAATACTATGGTGTCCAAATGAGATGTGCCTGCAGTTTTAGATGCACAAAAATCTATTCAAACCTGCTTCCATCACTTTACACACCTTATAATCCATTACAGACATTTACCTGCCTTAAATCTAGTTAGACTGCTTTATTACTCAGAGGAAAAAAAAAGAAAAAAAACTGGAATCTACCACTATCCTACTGACAGCTGGAAAACACCAAAGTTACCTTTGGCATTCTCAGAAGCCACCTCCTCTGCAGGTGAAAACAGACACACATAGGATCTGGCTTGGCAATGAAGTGAGGTCTAGGATTCAGCAGGGAAAATCTCCAGAACTTGAACTGTGAACAGGCATCTCGTAAGGTCCCTGCTAGAGAAGCACTTCATTGACTTACATGCATATTTTAGTGCTTTTCTAAATCAGAAGTCCCTCAAAGGGCTGTATGCAGAACCACATTTCGCTTTTCAGTTTAGACCGAGATCAAAACAATAAATAAAGGCAAAATCCGTTCCTGATGCGAACTGGGGTTATCCTGGAGATTAATTTGACACAACTGACCCGTTTGTTTTTTCTCTCTTAATGAAGGGAAATGCAGAGACTTGAGGAGCATTCCTTTGTCAACATCTTGCAAGTACAGTTGTATGAGTCTCACAATCTTTCACCAGGGCTTATTTTTGAAAGCTCTTCCTTGATTCCCCCCATCAACTGCAACAAAGGTTTTGCTTGAGGAAGGAGCAAGATCCAGAGGAGCTGCTCTCTTCCCCACTTGCAATATCCAATCTGAGTGTTACTATCAGCTTTTGGAAACTGACTGATAGAAAGCACAGATGATGTTTGCATATTTTAATGTTAAACATCCCTGCTTGGCGTAAGGATGGAACCTAATAAACTGCTTTGTTTCTGTGTCATGAATTAATTCAGCCTGCTAACTGATTTGGATAAAGCATTTTGATTCCAACTAATAAATTTGCTTCCTGGTCAGGCAAAACAACTTTTTGGAGGCAAAGTAACAAGCTTGTTAGCTTACCAAGAGAAGTACTTCTATAAGGAGCAGACTTTTTATAACCCACTTGTTCCACCGATGTCTTTTAAATCAATCAGATAAATTCACCTTGTTTTTCAATGCCCTGAATCCCGATAGCTCTGCACACTTGATAGGTAATTTAATCATCGTTGGTGTGGATGAACACAAGCTCAAATTAGCTTCTGAAAGGCTTAGTCATCCTGTGGATAGCTCTGCCTTTCCACTTTTATGCAGGAACTGAGCTTCACCAACTGGTTAGCTAGAGGTGTCATTAAAAATTTACAGAAAGAAACAAAGGTGTGCTCCAGCGTCTCTCCTTACCCTTTCTACTGTTACTTTGGCAGACAAAAGGTATGGAACCTGCTTCATGAATAATGAGTCATGTAATATGCATAATGCATTTTTAATGGTATACAGTAATAACACTGAGGTATTTCCAATCTTCAGACTTGCACCACAGCCTCTCAGTAGCCTGTTCTGATTCTCCACAGATAGATCTCTTTTTCCTCCTCTTCATTTCAAATCCCCCACCTTAAAGCCAAGACTTTTCCCGCAGACATAGCCACATTTAACCCCAATCAGCAGCTGAGCTAGCAATGGATGCAAGCAGGGCTGGTGAGACATGGAATACTCTACCATGCAACCATTTCAAAGGGGTTTAGGCCTGAACAACCCTCACCACCGGCGCCCTGAGACACACCAGTAATGCAAGACAATCTAGTAGAAGACACCCTTAAATCAATAAAATACTTGCAGAGTTCCCTCCCTTGAAGAGCTGTCTTATCACAGGGGCTGTGTCAGAGCCCTCCTGTGCTGCCATAGTTGCCTCCTCCAGCTGCCCAATCCCAACTCCAGTTGTCCTGTCTGAAAGTCAGGCACTCTGTGGTCAGGCACACATCGCTCTTGTAGTTTTAAAGGTAAATGCCAGTCACTAAGCCCAGTTGGGGCCTGCAGGCCCACAGTAGGCCATATCTGACAGGAAAGGGTCCTCTCAAGGGCCCAGACTGCTGCACCTCAACCACCTCACACCCAGTACCCCCAGCACTCACTCCATCCACAACTACAGCACCCCAGGAGGATGAATACCAAATGTTGCCTCAGGGTTAGTCCCAGGCCTACCTGCTTCTCCTGCTGAGCTGTTCCTTGGAGCCTCCACTGGTGTGGGCAGGACCAAAACCACCACCAAACCTTCCCCATTACCACTTAGCCCCCTCCACTTCTGCATTAAATAACCCAGCCTAATTGGCCTAACATGGCACCTGGCACCTCCACTGGTGTTCTGCACCAGCCTCTCGCCCTGCCAGCTGTGACTGTGTGTCACTTTTCTGTTAAATAAAAGCCCTGTCTGTGAGGCCTTGGTGTTGGCAGCCACTGTGTGGAAGAGCTGTCCCAGCGATGCATGCTGGCTTAGTCCTGAGGAGACTGAGCTCAGCTGCAGCCTGCAAAGGGAGCCCTGTGGGGAAGGGGCTGCGGATGAAGCTCTGAGGTGGCAGAAAGCAGGAGCATGGCGGGATCTAGGCAGTGCTGTGGCAAGTGGAGTGCCATGGCCCTCCAGTGGGCTGAGGGATGAGCACAGAGGGGGACTCTGCTCACTGGTTTTATATACAATGAACATGCAAAGCTGGAAACAGGAGTATATATCCATGTGAGCACAAGGCTTTGTGCACATGTAAAAGCCCACGCTGCCATGCTGTGCTCTGATGGGAAAAGGACAAGGGACCCCTCTATCATCCTTCTGCTCTTGTTTTGTATGGGCTGCAACTGCCAGGTGGGGCAAGCCCCGCTGGCAAGGCAGGCAGGATAAAGTCAGTTCTGTGAGTCCCAACAGGCTTAAGTCCCTTAACAGTCTTAATGATACACCTGCTGCTCAGGTGTTCCTGCAGGCTCCCTGGCGCAGGCATTTAATCTTGTGGGAGAGCATTCAAGTTCCTCCTGAGCTAAGCAGGGAGTTCTGGCAGTTTGCATTTGCAAAGCAGGCATTTAAAACTGCTGTTTCCCCTTCAAAACTTTATATGGATATACAGTTTACCCCAGTCTTCAGGACTGTGTTCAGCTGAAATCAGGGGGAGTTGGACACATAAATATAGCAGTGGTGCTGTTTAATCACAGAGCCCATGTGCAAACACTGAGCCTGCATTCCCTCCTGGAATGCTGTATCCCTGATCATCACTGTGGATTGTCATTGTAATGGCTGACATTTACAAACATGCTAGTTAACGTATCAAATGAAAATCACTCTAGAACATCCTCATTACTTTATTAACTTAAAACATTGTTCCAATAAATACGTACCAATAAACATAAGACACTTCATAAAATCTAAATAAAGACATTTACAAACCTGTCAACTAAGTAAAAACAGCTTCTTTTTATTTTAACCGAGGTACTTGCAGGGTCATTTAAGGCAAATTCAGTCAATTATACTTTTATAATGATTCCTGCCCACCTCAACCAAGTTTCCCTTTAAAAAATAAAAAACTAAAACAAATATACAAATGATGCTACTGAGTAGCTATTTTCCAGTTATTTGAACAAGCTCATAGTGTGGAGGCCAGGAACAGTTCTGGACAGAAAGTCTGCACCTCTCTGGTGCTCTTGCCCTCCTCAGTCAGGATCACTTGTTTCATGGGTTTCTAGTTATAAGGCATTAACTCTGTGCTTTGGCTTTTCCACTTGTCTTTCACAAGCTTCCTTCTCCCCAGAGGGTGTAGCAAGATGTAACCCCTATGCCTCAAACACACATGCACACAACCAGGCTTTGCACAGAGATAGCTCTGGAACAGTAAAAAGGGTGTCTGTGTAACTGTTAATGCAGCTCCTTGTTTGCACCAGAACAGGTGAGAGCAGGATCAGGCCCAAGCTAGTACCTTTGCTTAAAAACCAGCAAGAAGATGTCAAACTGCACAGCTCAGTCCTGATCCTCCAGGTTTTCCTGACAGGAAACCAAGAGTGAAGCCACTGAAACTCAACCAAGGTGAGTGCTCCATACATCACTGCAGAAGGCTGTCATTACTGTGTAAACACTGTTATACCCATATTTCCCTGTGAGGTGATTCAAGCTACTGAACTTCAATGGGTTCACCTTGGCCATGGGAGAAATATTTTCCAGCTTACAGATATTTGGTAGCTTATCCATCTTTGGAGTATCAGGCTTTTAAAAGGCTTATTTTCCAGTGTTATTTCAGAAACAGAGAGAAGAGAAAGAGAGAAACCCCAGCCTTTTAATTTCTGCTGTCATAGTCATTCAGGTTAAGCTGTTAATACATGGCTCTGTCCTCTTCTTTCCCCTCTGAGCTCCTGGTCAGAAAGGTAATACCAGGCTCTATGCTTAGGACAAGGCATGGGTCCATTGGGGAAGCCAAGGGAGTCTATTCTCATAGTGTTGTAGATGCTTTCCATATTGCAGCTGGGACTCATTTCAGGCCATGTTGTGTCTCCCGGTGTCTCCGTAAATCCACCTTTCTTTGGAAGCCTTTGCCACACAGATCACAGCCGAAGGGCTTGAAGCCTGTGTGCTTCCGACTGTGGGTGATGAGGTTGGAGCTCTGACTAAAGGCTTTCCCACACACCTGGCACTTGTGAGGCTTCTCACCTGCAAGCAGAAGGCAAAGAAGAGAGAAAGAGGGTGTTAAGAGGCAACTTGTTGCTTAGACAGGACGAGAGCGAACAGGAAATGCACACTGGACCTTAGAACTCATCAAAGAGACTCCTGTGTGATTACTGAGGAAGTCATTCTAATAAAAAGCATACAATTGGGAGCCCCAAAGCATTACCTGAGCCTGTACTGCAGCAGAGCAGGCCTGAACTTGGCTGCACCTCCATAGTACAGATCTGAGAGCAGCCTGAAGCACAGAGTGTTCTCAGGATACAGTAACTTGTGAATGCACTTGGCTGCATGGCTCTGTGTGATTTAAATTGCCTTTGTGTCCTAGAAACATAAAGAACTCCTGGAAAGACTCTCAGGTCATTCTGGCTGACATCAGTTGTTATAGCAGCGTGGTGGCAAGTAGGATAGATAGGTGGAGGCTGTTAAGCCAAACCCACTGAGTTGCGCTCTGTCCCGAAGGGAGGTCTGAGTGCCCTTAAGTGAACCCTGAAGGCCAGGATTCATCCAGAAATCTGCTCTCATCTCTGTTCCCCATACTGAAGTGCTAGCAGTCACCCCAAGCCATCCCTGAAATTCTCCTGCAGGCAAATAACATAAAAGGGAGCAAATTCAGCCCTAAAATTCTCCTGCAGAGGGATGAGTGACAAAACTCCACTGGCCTCCATGGAAGCAGAATCTCAGAGCATTTTCATAGTGTTTGTTATCAAATAACGGATAAAAAGGAATCCAACCACAAAACCAAGTCTGATTTTCAGAGCAGCTTTGCACCTGCAAAGCCCACTGACTTCAGCTGGCACAACAAACTCTTTTCATGTTTGAAGATCAGATTCTCAGAAACATAAAATAATACAAAATGTGCTGGAGGCTCAGTTCACAAATGTATGATGCATATGAAAGGGATCCTTGATTCAGTTAAGGATGTGGTTTTGTATTAGCAATGTAGAAGTCCAGGCACAATTTCTGATCTCACAACCAAATAATGGTTTTGACTGATTCAGTTTGGCTGAAATTTCCTTCATCGAGATTCACTGGAAAAAGTTACTGTGGAACTTTCTGTATTACTTCCTAAATAGTTCATTTTCATCCAGCAAGCTTCTGGTGGAAAACCTCTGTAAGTAACATTTATTGTTCACTGCTTGTCTTCTAGAAAAGTAACAACCAAGCAGTGTTACATGTAATGTTGCACTATCTTTCTACCTATTTGCCATGTTCAAGCTTCACCCTTGATATCTGCTAGGGGTCACTACCAGGAAACAGGATTTTGGTCATCTGAACCTTGGGTTTGGCCAGTAGAGGTGTTAATTTTGTGTCTACAACTGCTTCATTCCTTTCCCTCTACTTTGAGTGATTCAGGTCTGAAAGGTAAGATTTTCTTTTTAAGATTTCTGATAAACTTGCTTTCTCACTGAACAATATTTTAAAAACAATTTCCTTTGATGATTCACCTGCACTTTATTAGTTTCCATGTTTATTACTAGCAGTGAAACTTGAGAGCTCTGCACCTCTTCTTCCATTCTCTACAAAACTGCAGCATGTGGAAGTGCAGACACCTCTGAACAAATATTTAGTCTGAGTTGGACCCTAAGCCCTCCAGTTTAGTGTTTGGTCTAGAGGAGGGGACTCATGTTGTTCCTATTTTAAACTGGTAAACTCTGCAAAAGAAATGCTGCAATCAAATTCACCTGTCATTTTCCAGGACCTCAGCTGTAAATCAAAGCTACACGAATATAACACTCTCCAAATCACCTTACACAGAAGCCCTTTGAATAAACTGGTGGATCCTCTAAAAGGAGCACTGATTGGATTCTGAGGATTTGGGTTATTTTGCAGATGCCTTTCATTCAAATCACCCTCCTTTGCACAAGTAGAGCTCAGAACAGCAGCAGGGTGCTGGGAAGCATGGGGAGGTGCATGTACTGTCTCTCCAAGGAGGAATGGACTGCTGCAGAGAGACCTCTTCAGAGATCTGCTCTCACAGTCAGGGCTGAACACCAGCAGCTGCAGGGCTGACCTGTGTGAATGAAGGTGTGCTTCTTCATATCAGATTTCTGGTGGAACCGTTTCCCACAGTACTGGCATGGATAGGGCCGTGTGTCCGAGTGGATGAGCAGGTGGGTAGACAGAGTAGAAGATCTCTTAAAACTCTTGCCACAAATCTTACAATCAAAGCTGCGTTCCTGCAGAGAAAGGAGCCCAAACACACACGTTAACACCACACCAACACATCAGTGTTGCCCCTTTTGCCTTAGCAAGCACTTCCACTACTCCAGAGAACTGGACTGGCCTGTGGAGATGCTAACAACAATGCTAACTAGATGCTAACATGATAGCACCACATGATAAAAAGATAATGCACCCTCTCCCATTGCTGTGCACCACTCCTCACAAAAATTTAACTGGACAGATCTTCCTGCTAGCCGCAACGGCCACATTGGGAGCAGCCCTGAGGGACCGAGCAAAGTCCACCTGCACATTTCAACAGGGGCCCAAGACATGATCACTCCACTGGGAAGCCCAACAGCTGCAGCGTTGTTCAGAGGCCACCTTGCCACTGTACACAGTAAAGTGGGTGCTGAGGTCTGCTTGGCTCTCCTGGGAAACCTGTGGCAGGCTGACTTCTGCTGGCAGGGTAACAACTAAGTGCTTATTTGTAGTTCCGTTAAAATGGGGAATGTTCCCAGGAGGACCTAGGGAAAACAGCTTTTTGGCTTACTACTTTAACATATCAGAATAAATTCATTAAAACTTTGCTGTCTCTCTCTCCCCTCTCTCACACACTCTTCTCCACCACTTTCTTCTACCATAAATCATATCTTCTTTCCATCCCTTAACTGCCATCACACCTGCCTCTTCCTGCTATGCTTTCATACAATCATAGAATCAAAGAATCATAGAATAGTTATCTTAGTTTATTTGGCTTTTAATGTACTCTTCCTGAAATGTCCCCTTCATGGACAAAATATGCAGTGCTACTCTTTTCACCACTATTTAATGAGTGATGAGATGTTTCCCTTTATTGTGCACTCTGCTGTTGCATACTCAAGAAATTGCAAATAAAGCAGCAAAAAAACCACTGTTATAACTCAATACTCCAAAAGCTGATCTGAAGAAGGAAGATTTGCCAGGTCAGGTGGGTGGGGAAGGGGAAATATGGCACAATATCAGCAGGTGGAAAATGTTACATGTCCTCCTACCAAAATTAACTACCATATTCTTTTGGTGTGTGACTCAGAGTGTGTCGAGACGGGTGAAGTCTGTGCTCTGTACCTCACTGGCCGTTGAGATGTTCCCTGCACAGACACAATGACTACAAACAAGGGAAGACTCACTTCTTTGTGGGGGGGGGAGGAGAAAGAATGAGGAGTGCTGTGCTGAAAGAAAGCACAATTAGTTGCTTTTGCTGTTAAAAAAAAGTCCACATCTGCATTACAATTTTCGAGAGTAAAAATTTATTATTTATTATCTGTTACTTCCGGAGGGCCAAAAGTGCCCATTGCTTAATATAGACACATGTGAGGTCTGGGGAATGGAAACAAAGCCTGTGCTCTTCAATTAGTAGATTTGCTCCTTTGCTCACCAGCTGCCCACCCTTTCCTCTGCCTAACACCATCTCCTTCACCCACAGCTGCTCACTGCAGCCCTACCGTGTTCTCTTCCTCTCCTCAGTTTAGATGTCTGCTTACTGTTCTGGCATGATCTTAAGGTCCTTTCCAACCTAACCATTCTGCATTTCTATGGTTGCTCTCCTGGCCTCCCTAAAGCCAGCCAAAGCAAGCAGCTGGCCCTGGCCCTCAACCTTCATCTTGGCAGTCTGCCCCACTCTCACCTGCGAATGCACAGCCTTGTGCTGCTCCAGGCTGACTGCATGGCCAAAGGTCTTGCCACACATGTCACAGGCAAAGGGCCTCGTGCCACTGTGTGAGCGGCGCACATGTACCTCAAGGCCATGTGGTGTGGAGAAGACCTGAGTGAAGAGAGCATACAAGGTCAGGCTTGCCAGGGAGAAGGAGCTGGGTAAGAGTCATAACCAGAGTGAGAGAAAGGGATCCCTACCTTGCTGCACTTGACACACTTGTAAGAGCCAGTACTGATGAGCAATGGGCGGCACAAGAGGTCCGACTCCACTTTGATGCCACCTGGGCCCTTCTCTTGCTGCAGCCCAGGCTGTGTCTCAGCATAGAGTCTGGGTGCTGCTGCTGGCGGACGCTCATACAGCCCCGGGCCTGGGGAGCTGAAGTCACCATAAAGTCCAAGAGAAGAGCTACACTCAGCACTGTAGAGGGCAGACTCAGAGCCTCGCTCACAGAAGAGCCCAAGGGCTGAGGTTCGCTCCAGTGTTGGGCAGGGCCTGTAGCTTTGCACAAGATGCCTCAGTTCAGAGCCAGCCAGGCTGTTCCACATGTACGGCTTGAAGGGCACTGAGAAAGGGGGTGCTTCATCTAGGGATGGACACACAGATCGCTCAGAGGCTGTGGAAACACAAAGGCAAGGGAATTAGTGCACTTCACAATACAGCCACTATCGTGGGGCAGAACCATCTCAGCACTCAGACTTGTGCCCAGAGTCAGACCCCTGTACTGCACATTGAGGCTGCCCTTTCATCTCCAATGAGAGGACATTTTATATTGCACAGCAGGGTCTGTGCATCCAGTGCTACCTATTCACTTGCTGTCCCAGCCAAGTTATCTGAAGCAGCCACCAGTCTTATCTACGTCCATCTCTGGGTGTGTGTACACTAATCTGACTGTTGAGACACTAAACAACTCAGTCGGCAACTTCCTTTGGTTTGATCTGCAGACCCTCAAAAAAGTATATCTAGTGTGTCCCAAGATGGTCATCAAAGATCTGTCCACAGGTTTAAGCTCTGATGCAGATCCCACACATCCGTATAGCAAATATGACATTACAGGGGTGCCCAAAGGAGCAAGCGTGCTGAGATTTACCTGTTCAGCAAAACTAAAACCTGCTTGCTGCCCAATTTTATGCTAAAACATAGTCTCTCAACTTCACGCCAGAACTGTCTGTAACTATACTACAGCACAACTGAAATAAAGAACTGCTACTGAGATGCTTGAATGTCATGCCTTATTTTTTTCAGAAAATGTAAAATCAGTCCTCATCTGAACCAAAACCATGGTTGTTTCAGGTTGCTCTAAGTTTCTCCAAGTAAAGAAGCTAGTCCACTCAAAATATAGAGCTTTGTAAAATCATTGGTATAGGCTGCATTAAAAATTGAAGACACAGAAAGTTTTTCCTTGTAGTCATAATCAAAGCGATCTCCCACCAGAACAAGCTCAGATGGCTTCAGTTGGCTCTAATAGGCTCACCTTTGGCAACATCATCTGACCAAGGCAGTGGACACAAGAGGAGTCACACATGGGGGACCATAGTGGAGTCTGATACAATGGCAGGAACATCACCTTTGAGATCAGTGGCTAAAGGCACAAATGCTCAGGGAGCCTTGCATAGAGGAAAGCACAGTTGGGCAGGGAACACGAGGTACCAGATCCCAACTGTGTTTTCCAGAGATGCTGATTAATGCCCTAGGTGCTCTTCATTCAGTCTTAATCACAACAGGCAACAGCACTGGGAGAGTCAGATGTCTCCACTGGCTAAAAGTTTTACTGAACCAAGGAAAAATTAATCTGATAACTGCTGAAGTGCCAATGCCTTCACAGAGATGAACAAATCCCTTGCAACTGGGGCTTCCAGAATAACCTTCTTTACCCAAAAACTTGTCCACCCATAATTCCTCTCTCACTTTTTATCATTCCTGCCAATTTTACAGTTCCCATGAGTTTCTCAGCCCTCAGCAAGCCAAGATACCAGAGGTGGGCTAGGGAAGAAAGGCATGATGTGTTAGGCTACCCATTTGGATAGGCAGGTGGTTATGGGTGGTTACACAAGGGAATGGGAAATGAGGTGAAAAATTGAGCTGTGAATAACTTGACTGTTTCCTGTCTTTTACTTAATTTCAGATGTCAACGGTCTCTAATTCTTCCATTGAAATTAGCAGCCTTTTTGTTAGAAATACATGCTCACATACCAACTGGGACATCTGAACAGAGCGATGAAATCAAAATAGCTGACATGGTGCTGAGCATGATTTTTCCTGTTCTGCACTGACTGCAAGGTTGTGGTCAGCATCACATCTTCTATCTTGTGTCTTCGCAACCAGTTTCAGTGTTGCCATCTCTCATGATTTTATCACAAGATTCAAAATTATCTTAAAGCCCCAGCTCTTGAAACTGCATGATTTCATCAGGCCCTCAGCTTTCCTTTTGTTTGCCTGTTCTTTTTGTTTCCTTTTAAAGTCAACTTGTAGCCCAGACTTTACAGCCCAGACTGTAAAGAAAAGCATGAAAATGTAAACTCTCAGTGTTTCAACAGTAGAACTGAATATCCTTAAGGTATAACTTACAATCTTGATTTCTAAGCCATTCCGCTGAGTGAGAGGAGAGGGAAGGCTGACCTGAATTTTGAGCCCTTGAATTTGGCAAGCCGGGACACAGTAAACACTGCACCACAGATCAGTTTGCGTGCAATGTTCCTTCCATCACCTCACATGCTTTGGAGACATCTCAAGCACAAGTGCACACTATACTTTGCAGGGGCAAGCTCAAGCCATCCAAGCTCTATACCCAGGGTCAAAGTGACCTGCAAATCCTGCTCTGCCACACTGCACGGCACTTCTGTGTCTGCCTCTCCTCTCCTCCACAGCACCTAAGCCTCCAAGGGGTGAGCAGGAGGCAGAGAGGGATTGTTCCTCCTCTTCCTAGCAATTCTGTGCAGCCTTTATATAGATCCCTTCTGGGAGAAAAAAATATCAGTGCTCTTTTTTGAAGGCAAAGCAAACTCAACCCAAAATGATTGAGAACAGATTGATACAAACAGCAAAGAAAGATCAGTTTATCCTCCACAGGCTACAAAATAGCACACAAAATAAGCAAAATCATGTGATTAGAGACACACATAGAAAGAGAAATTAAATAACAAAGTGATTTTCACTGATGAAGCCAACAATGTATTAAGAGTGTTAACAGGTATTATGTCTGTGCATGCTCATCTGGATAGGCAGCATGGCACCCAAAGACAAAGCTGAAATCTGGCTTTCACTGCATACTGATGTGCAACCTGCACCTATGTTCATTCTAAGGATACAGGGGTAATAGTACTACTCACTGCACCCGCTTTAAGCATAATTTAGAACCATCATTTCTCATCTGCCCTGCTTGTCAGAGCACAGAAACTGCCCCATCCAGGCAAACTCAATCATAGAAATACAGTCACTCACAAGCGTGTCTTGCATAAGCAACCTAGGCACAAATTCCAGCTTTGCACTGAATCTGACAAAGCAGCTGGAAGACAGAAGGGTTAAGGGGGAGATGTGGGAGCAAGCCCAACTATCTAATCCTGCTGCCACTGCCTTCATCATTAATGTAACAGCATCTCTCTCAATGCACTGAGGTTCATTTAATAGAGCTTTTCCTTTACAGTACTCAGATTCTCTTACCTTCCCATTCCTCCTGTGAATGGGATCAGGCAGTCTCAGGACCCCTAACACCCCCAAATAATCTTGATATGGGGATGTCACCCTCATTTTGCAAAGATACCTTCCCTGGATAGCTGGGTGGCTGGCTAGGAGCTGATTAATCCCATCGCTTGGGAAGAAATGAGCTGGGAGGAGGAAAAGGCAGAGCGGCCATGGAAAATACCTGCTCCATTTTGCATCTGTCCTTTAGACACCTTGGGAACAGTCTCTTTCCCGCATACAGCTTGGAATTATTTGGGGAAGGAGAAGGAGGAAAAATTCATTTGACCAAAAATTTCACACATTGCTACACTTTGTGGAGAAATATTAACAAGAGCGTATCTGCTGCGTTTGGTCCATTGTGTCATTTGCACAGACTGGAACTGTCCTGTGGATGGCTGTAATGATACTGGGCAGCATTTTGAACATTCCCTCGAAGGGCTTTAGGACTCTTAAAAAAGGGGGAGGCCTTAAAAATGCAAACCCACATCATTACAATCAGTCGTTGATATACAAGGACATTACAAAGGCTAAGTGGGAAAATCAGTAGGGAAACAGGACCCAACAGGACTAAGTATTCGTTTCCTGGCATCTGCTGTCAGTAAAGCTGAGACAATTTTTCCTTTGCTAAGATAGAAATTATTCTTTTTTTCCAGCTGTCACTTTTTAACCGAGGCAATAAAAGGTGGGTTTTATATATATACATATTTCTGTTATAAAATGACACCATTGTATTTTTAAACGAGATAAGTATTCGCGTCAGGCTGGGGACAGCATCTCCCACTGCTCCAACCACATCAAAGGCAGGACAAGGGAGCTAGAGACAGGCGCTGCAGCCATAAGTGTGAGTTTCCTGGATTTGGGGTGTTTAAATCTGACCATCGTTATTTTCCTCTGGTATTTACGAATGCGTTTTTAGAAAAGAAAAAAGGGGGAGGGGGAGGAAAATAAAAACAAAAAAAAAGAGAGGGGAGGAGGGAGGGAAGGGAGGGACTGGGAGTATCCTTTTTATAGGCAAGAGGCAAGAAATAACCTGAAAGGGAGTTAGGAAAAAGGTCTAGCAGCTACTACGAAACACAAAGTCGACACTGCTTGTGCAGGTATACAGATAGCCTAGTACATTTTTTTTCCCGTTTTAAAAAACATCTAAACTCTGCGTAGCAGGACCTTGCAGGAAAACATAAGCTGCTTGCCTTTACCAATTAATCAGAAACAAAAAAATTAATGCCTGATGGCATCACAACTTTTCTACAGCCTGTGGCTTGCTGATCCCTCAGTAGTGGGAGACGGGCTGGAAAAGCAACCTGAAAGAGATAACCCGAAAACGAATGGAAGAGACAGATCTGCTTTTTCCCACCGCACGTGAAAAGGCAATTCTGTCCATTCCACTTGTTTTCGACGGCGGGCCCCAGCCATGAGACATTGCCCCACAGCACTGACACCGACACGCAGTCGGACCCTCGCCGAGTTCTGCTCGTCCCGGTCCTACCTGGCGAGACGGAGGGCGAGGGAGGTCTCCAGAAATCCTCAAACTCGGACACTCTGTCACAGACGCTGCCCTCGCAGCTGGGCGCTGACTCGGAGGTGCCATCGGCAGCCTCGGCAAGGTGGGATTCCGGGGAGAAGCGTCCCTGGGAAGGTTCTGGGTCGGGCAGGATGGTGCGGCACAGACCCGCGTCCTCGGGGATCTTGCTGTCTGCAGGGCAAAAGGGACGAGAGGGCTCCTCAGTGCGGGTCCACGGGAGCTGCCAGCAACCTCCCGCGGCTGCCCCGCTCCCACCAAGATTTACTAGGAGACTTTCTCCAACCCGCATTAGCCTCTCCAGCGTTTCGCGGGGTCCACATTGCCGCGGGGCTTCACGGCCACTGGCCGGTGCCGCTGGCAGCGGGGTGATGCGCATCGGGCGGGCCAAGGCTGCGACCGACGGACTCCTACCTGCACAGATCTGGGCTAGCACCGTCTCCAGCCGCAGGCTGTAGTCCTCGTCGGCGGAGCGAGGCTGGTGGTAGCTGTGCGCTTTCTTGCTCTTCACTAGGAAGGACCTCGGCATGGTGGGGGTGCTCCCGCGGCCGGCACTGCCGCGCTCCCTCTCCAAGCGCCGGGCACGGCGGCCGCAAGCGTCACCCCCGACTCTCCCGCGGGGCGGCGGCGGGAAGGCGACCTGCGGGGAGGCACCGATCCGCCGGTGAGGGCCGGGGGCGCCGGCCGGGAGGGGCCGCTAGCCGGGGGCGGCGCGACAGGTGGCCCCGGCCCCGCTAGCCTCTCCCCCCCTTTTCGGAGCGCAGTTACTGAGCCAACACTAACACACACTCCCCCTCGGTGTCCCCGGGGCCGCACCGGCCACGTTCCGAGGGCCGATAGCTGGTAACAGGCCTCAGCAGAGGCCGAGAACCGTTCTTCGGACGCCGGCTCTTCGTCGGAAGGCAGGAGAGGTTCACAGGATCACCGCCATCGCAGGGCCTCCTCTGTCGTTACACTTTACACTTTGCAAAAAGCGAGTTTAAACAGCGTTTTGGTTGGTCCTTTCGGGGGACTTCAGCGGCGGAGAGGGGGGGATGTGTTTGGGGCTCTTTTTCCCCTCCCGTCAGTGGCCTCAGGCTTGCAAACAGGCCACAGCAGTGGCCGGGCAACCTTCGTGGGACGAGCTAAGGGTGGGAGAGCTTCTGAGGGGCCGCTCATGTGCACCCCTGTCCCTCTCATCCGCACCGGCAGCCCAGCCAAAACGGCGCCACCAAAACGTACCCCCAGAACGGCTGGTCAGTCCCCGCCCTCCAGGACGGGCTGTACGGCGCAGGGCTGCTGCCAGGACGGGCGGGGGAGTCGTTACAAACCCAACAGCCTAAACCCGGCGCCTGAGAGGCTGTTGCTGTCGAAGGGACTCATTCACCCATCCAGCGCGAACCACGATAACGCGAAAACGAGCAAACCGGAATCTGTCCCTGCAGCCCGCAGATGCTGGTGCCGCTGCACCTTGCAGCTGCGGACACTGGAAGCCGGGGAGAGGAGAGGGACGAGGTGGGAAACCTCCTGGGGTTGCTACTGGAGCCGGGGGGGCGGGGCGGGAGACGACAAGGGGGACAGGAATCGGGTTAACCAGAGCTGCCCCGACCCAGCTCCTCGGGGGAAACACAGCAGAGGTATATCGGAGCCCGTTTAGCGCCTCTGTCGTTACACTTCACACCTTGCAAAAAGCGAGTTCAAACTGCTTTCGTTTGGTTCTTTTCGGGGACTTCGGGAGGTTGGTTTGGGCTTTCTCTCCTCCCGAAAGGAGAAAGGAGGGCAGGGCCCCGACCCCGTCCGCCCCGTCCGGAGCGCAGCCCGTTGGGGAAGTGCCGCCCGCGGCCAGGCGCCGGGCGGGCGGGTGGGAGCGTTGCAGCCCAGGCTCACCTGCGCCTCGGTTCATCCTTGAGCGGGGGCTGGCAGCGAGAGGGGTGAGAAATCAAAGCGGCCCGATAACGCGTCGCCCTCCCGACAGCAACTGCAGCTGCAGCCGCAGCCGTTGTGGGGGGCTCCGGGCGCCGCTGTGGCCACTGCGTGTTTTGGTCCCCGTGCGGCGCCGCCCAAGGCCTGACCAGGCTGGAGCCGGGGCCGTGGGAAGGCTAGTCCAGTAGCCCACCTGCCCCGCTCCCCACCGCTCCTCGCGATGGCCTGAGGGCTGTGGGAAGCCTCCCCGAGCCGTCGCGGCGGAGGCCGGACTGGAGCGGAGCGGGGGCTGCAGGGAGGGGGAGATGAGCAGAGGGCCGGGTAGGTACCACGCCGGGGCGGCTGCTACCTACGCGAGGTGAGAAAAGCAAGAGTGCTTACCCATGTGGAGGGGTGAAGGAAGCTGGGCTGCAGACGGGATTTGCGCCGCAGGCTGCCAGTTTGGGTGACTTTAAATTTAGCCTCCCTTTAAGGAGCAATGGTGCTTGAGTTGGCTTTTTCTTTTTTTTTTTTTTTTTCTGTGCCTCTCAACTCCTTCAGAGCTCGGCCCCCTAAACCACAAACTCCACTTCCTGAGCGTTAGGAGCTTCTGCAAAAAAAAAAAAAAAAAAAAGGGGGGGGGGGGTTAAAAAAGGAAAAAAAAAAAGCCGAAGCCTCACAGATCAGCATTGTCCCCACTCCTCTTTCTCTATCATTTTTACTTAAATGAAAGTGTATTACCGTATTCCACCTCACAGGGCTCGCTGAAGTGACACCAAAGTGTCATTCTGGAACGGGGCGTTTCATTTCTCTCGGGGTTCTGCTCTAGAAATTATACACATCTATCTGAACTATTCTTGGATCCCCTTCAACTTCCGCAACGAGAACAAGTCACAGATTCAAAACACAGATTGACTCAAGGCGGGCAGACGCAGAGGGCAGGGGACTGAGGAGAGGGCGCCCGCGCTGCCGAGTCGGCTCTGGGCAGCATCTCTGCCCCCTGCCCGGGGACGGGGTCGAGCCGCCATCGAGCTGTGCGTGGCATTTAGAATCGGGGCTTAGGCAGGGCCCCGGGCGACGGAGACCTCCCCTAGACTAGAAATAACTTGTTGTGGAAAACTCTTTCGGGATAAATACGCCCAACGGCGCTGAAAATACCTTAAGACCCAAGCCTAGAGGTTTGCTCATTTCCCTTCGGATTTAGGTAATGGTTAAATATGGAAGGGGTAGGCGAGATCCCCCACCATCCCCCCTCCCCGGTGCACAGTGGCTACTGTAGCTTGAGGGCGGCTCAAACGCGAAGGCGAAAGAGAAGCTTCCCTTTCTCCTTCCTCGCCTGAGTGCCGATGCTCAGGCTGCTGACTAGGGGAGGCTCCGTGGGGCAGGCACCGGCAGCGAGCACGGTGGCGGAGGTCCGTGGAAAGCACCGCCCCGACAGCCCGCACCAGAGGGGACCTCTGCACAGCGCAGCCCGGCAGCCTGCTCCCTTCTGCAGAGCCCGGCCCCAAAACAGCTTTTTCTAGGTCTAGCCTTGGATTCCTGATGCAGCCAGGAAATCCAGCTCACACAGAATCTTCGGTATCTTTCTGAGGTGCTTCCGGGCTTCGTTGTGACATCCTGGGCCACCAGCAACTTCGTTTCGATGGCTGTAGGGCCGCCCGTAGTACTGTTCTGCAGCGAGCCAATAGAGGTTTAGCATCATTTCCCGTTCGGAAGCGACTAAGAACTGAAGTCGGACAAGGCAGGAGCAAACTCCAGCCTCTCTCACGCCCAGGAGCGTGATGGCTTTGCGAGCAGATGCTGCTCTCCACCAGCACCCCCGAAGCATTCACAGAAAAAACAGTCACTTCGTGCTTGTGAGCCCGCGTGGAACACGGTATTAACCCGACTTCTCAAAACCTAACTAAGCAAGCAAACACCGCTGCGAGAAAAATTGTCCAACCTGCGTGATGCTTTAGCAATGACACAAAAGGAAGTTGAAGAACACGACTGAGACATCGCACTTAACACCTTCATTACTGCCGGAAAGTTCCTGATGCTGGGCACAGCAGTTTTACTTACGGCATCTGTGCACCGCAGTCCCTTTGCCTTTGGCTGATTACTCTGAAAATCAGCTTCAAAATGTTAGGGTCAGCTTCAAAATGCTGGAATCAGTAGAAGTAACCAGATTAGAACAACTCGGTGTTATCGCGTGCGTATGTCTTGTTGATTTAGTTTGAGTTTTGGCAAAACAGCCTTCCCCGTTTGCCATTGCCGTGGGGTGATAAACTACCTTGCGAGGAGCGCTTTGGCTGCATGCAAAGCAAGCATCACTGAAAATTACTATTAACTATGACTGTAGTCTATATGACTGTAGTCTAAATGACTGTAAACAATTCTGACCTGCTCAGAATAAAAATACATATTTGTCTTCATACACCTAAATTCAAAACTCGTGCGGGTGCTTTTGGTGTAAACAGCACGGCGGTTCCCGAGCAGGGGACACCCTCTGGGTACCGCACATCTCGCGCCCCTTACTTCTCACCTACTGCTTCTCAAACTCCGTGAAAGCCTTCAGCAAAGCCAAGGAAATCAGAGAGGAAGGCGAGGGTTTAAATGATCGTACAATCTCTCATGTAAGGGCTGACGCTGTATGGGCACCAGGACACACCTGAGGCTCCCGCGGCGTCGGCTTTCTCCAATGACTAGAGGAGAAAGCGCCCGAAGATGGCTTTGTTTAGCGATTAGCAAAACCAGCTCGCGCCTTCCCGGGTGTCCGTCAGGACCGACGACCTGCTTCACTCCGCTTATAAAGACAGGGAAAGCTGACCCGTGCTGAGGGCGAGCCGGAGCTGCCGGCTTCGTACCGGCTTTAGTTCTAGCCGTGAAGGCGGCCAGAACAGTCTCCGGCAGCGGCCGGGATCGGTACCGGGAGGCGCCGGGTGCGGGCACAGGCCGTCGTTACTGCTCGCTCCCTCACATAACTCCTTCCGCCTGCGGCGGGCCCTCGAGGCCGGGAGAGGTGGAAAACGGCCCCACTCCCTCACCCCTCTGAGGGGAGCCCTGAGTGGGGCAGCCCTTAAGGGGAGCCCTGAGAGGAGTCCTGAGGGGAGTCCGTGAGGGAAGCCCTTAAAGGGAGCTCTGAGGGGAGCCCTGAGGGGAGCCCTGAGGGGAGTCCTGAGGAGAGTGCTTGTGAGGAGTCCTTAAGGGGAGCTCTGAGGGGAGTCCTGAGGGGAGCCCTGAGATGGAGCCCTGAGGGGAGCCCTGAGGTAGAATGCTTAGGGGAGTCCTGAGATGGAGCCCTGAGGTGGAGCCCTGAGGTAGAATGCTTAGGGGAGTCCTGAGGGGAGCCCTGAGGGGAGTCCTGAGGAGAGTGCTTGTGAGGACTCCTTAAGGGGAGCTCTGAGGGGAGTCCTGAGGGGAGCCCTGAGATGGAGCCCTGAGGGGAGCCCTGAGGTAGAATGCTTAGGGGAGTCCTGAGGGGAGCCCTGAGGGGAATCCTGAGGTGGAGCCCTGAGGGGAAGCCCTGAGGAGAGCCCTGAGGTGGAGTCCTGAGGGGAGTCCTGCAGTGGAGCCCTGAGGTGGAGCCCTGAGTGGAATCCTGAGGGAAGCCTTGAGGGGAGCTCTTAAGGGGAGATACTTGAAGGGGGACTTGAGGGGGAGCCCTGAGGGGAGTCCTGAGGGGAGCCCTGAGGGGAGCCCTGAGGGGAGTCCTTGAGGAGAGCACTGAGGGGAGTCCTGAGGAGAGTCCTTAAGGGGAGCCCTAAGAGGAGCCCTGAAGGGGAGCATTGAGAGGAGCGCTGAAGAGGGTCCTTAAGGGGATCCCTTAGGGGAGTGCTGAGGGGAGCCTTTGCCACCCCTTGCTGCTGCTCTGCCCAGGAGAGTGCCTTGGCACTGGGAACTGCACACAGGTTCTGGGGCTTTGCTGGCCCTGGCTGATGCTGCAACTTAGGATCTTCTCACATCCCATGGATTTCCAGCCCTTTTTATTGCCTCTCATGCATTTTATCTTGCAACCCAGAAATATCACTAGGTTGCCATCACTACAGAGGAAGGGACTGAAAGAGAAACGCTGCAGCTGATGCAGACCATAGGTAAGGCCTGAAGGCAATTTCCACGCCTTGGCCATTGTCCCAGGGCTCTTTCCACCCCTGAGGGGAGCTTGCTACCTCTAGTAACAGCACGCTGAACATTGGTGAAGAGACTAAGCTCTTGTTCTTGGTTGATTATTTAGGTTAAACCTAAAGGTTAAACCTTAAAGCTTACTATTTGTAAAGTAACCTTTAAGGTGTTCTTGTATCATCGTGAGACATTGTAAGAGCTGTGTTGACAGTACCAAATATTCTGTACCCCAATGTCCTGAGTTGATGGAGGGATGTAATTAATGTGAAGTGTAGGTGGTGGGGTTTTAACAAAGCTGCTCTAATGCATCTCCCAAAGCGAGCATAATATTACAAGTTAAACATTTGGTAAGATACAGTTGAAGGCAATGGTAAGTACATGATCATTACCCCATAGTGACAAAAGAGGGGAAGAAATAAAGAGTCTAAGGTAGCGTGAAATTATGTTACAGTCATGCTCAATACTGCAGGGCTCCTCAACTTAATTTACTACACTGTTCACAGCATCTGCCTGATGTCGCCATTAGAGCTAAGATATTGGATAAGGCACCAAAGGTGGTGGGATGCAGATGAGATCTTCATGCTCAGGAGTGATGAGACACTTCAGGAGGAAGGATCTGAAGAACAGGATTTCACAGGTTAGTTGCTTGGTACATAGAAGAGGAGAAGCAATTCACAGTTCTCCCCACACCACCACCTCCAGCATCATATCGCTATTTTCTTTATATTTCTCCTTGTTGCACAAACATGCGATGTAAATATGTGAGACATGAATCAGTTATTTTGATAGCCTTTTTTTCATTTATTTTATTGCTGGGGTAAACAAAGTAACTTCTGCTGCTGTCAGAGCAGATCAGAAAAGCAATGATCACTGTGAGCATGAACTGGAGAGGGGAAATGGTGTTGGAGGCTGGAATGAAAAGAGGGATTCCAGCCTGGGGAAGGAGCGGACCCAGAACTTGCCTCCATTATGAACAGAAGAAACCTAAATCAATCGGTTACAGAATGTAGACTACGCAAAATAGTCTTGGGAATTTTAATTCTCATATTGGGATGCTAGAAAATTCATTCACTTATGCAACAGTACACAATCCTAAGAGTATGCCACATTGCTTTTATTTTTCATAATTGTGAAATGAGGTATTTATTTCTGGGAAGGGAGGGTGTTAAGCTCCTATTATCATGGATTTTAGTCAATCAGAGTCCATGTACGCATAGGTAAGCATATATTAATGCATCTTCTCCACACTGAAGCTGAAACTTCACGCTACATAGATGCTATGTTGAAAGTCAATTTACTGTGTGCTTTTCATTTCACCATTCTGAATCTCTGGTTCTACAGACTACTGTGTCAGTGTATTTCACTGATTTTTCTTAAGCTTTGAGCTAGTTTGTAAAAAAAAATCCAACCCCCTCAATCAACCAAAACCATCAGAGAACTACAAAGGATATAATGGTACAATTACACTAATAAAAGTATTTCACAAAACAGTTATGAACTTACATAATTCCAGGTAATACATAGCTTTCCTCTTCCTTTCAATACACATAGCTGGTGTAGCTATTGCGTAATTAAACATAACACTGTAATTTCCACTTAGATCGTAGTAACTTCTATTTTATAGATGGTGGTGGTGGTTGTTGCTATTATTTTAGTCTCCAGGACTAGCCTAATGGCTTTCCTAGGGGATTTGCATTATCTTCTACCTTCTTCTGGAAACAGTTACGTTATTTGGAGCCTCTACAGGTAACAGAATTGGCGGCACATCCAGTCAAAAATGTGGATATTTTTATGCTAGCGGATCTTTAGACCATTCTAGCCTGAAGCACAAATGGTGTATGAGCATCAAATTTCACTAAGCAGTTGCACAGTCTCTGATATAGAACACTGACTACATTAAAACCCGAGAAACATGTAATTTCTTCTGTGTTGTGGTTCCACAAAGGGCTGAATACAGGTTAAGTTCAATAATACAAGATTTACAAAGTGATTTTGTTTGATTTATGCAACCCCCTATGTGGATGATTATTTTAATCGCTTTCATAGCTGTTGAGCTGTGTAATAACACATGCTTCTTGACTTCACAGGTGTGCTTTCTCCCAAACAATCATGTTCCAAATTTTTCACAAATGTTACAAACTTCTAATATGTGAAATGGAATTACTTAAGTAAAAAGGTGTCTAATCATAAATATTATTAGGATCTAAAATATTCTCTCCCTTAGCCCCCAAAATAACAAAATATAATCATTGAGGCTTCTCTACCTAGTGGAGACACTGGATTATCAGATTGGAAAGCAGAACCATTTTCACTACCACATATGAAAGCATAATTTACATGGGAACTCTATATATAGTAGGGCATCCTCCTTCCCTGTTTCACTTGTTCTCAGCTGCAGCACTTGCGGTGTCAAGAATCTGAAGTTTTATGATTACATGCTTTTTTTAACCTTATGCTTTTAGTATTCACATTGAGCTCTTACAGGATGCCTGTAAAAGCAAATCAAAGGGAAAGGCATTGTTAGAAGTTCATGCAAGCAAGATCATGGTAATTAGCATGCTTTATTTATTGACATGTTAATATTTTATCTGTGCTGTTGATGATTTGACATTATTTTGGTGCGCATTCAAATTGCAATACACATAAACAAAGAGATTAGTGTCACTTTTTGGCAAAAGAGTTGCAGAAAAAGCAGGGTGATTCTGAACAGCCTCCCATGGGTTGTATTCCTAGGATATTCTGCATAACTAAGTCTTCTGAAACTGCAGCATGTCCAGTGATTCACCATCACTAAAAGATGTAGTTAGTTGGATAAGGACTTCTGCTTTTCCCTTAGTGTTTTTATTTCTGCTGTTATTCAGTATCAGTATTTATTCTATTAGTAAACTTCAGAACCACACAAGTTCAGGAAATAACCCTTGCCAACTAATCTCATTTGCTATCACTTGAACAGTAAGGCAGTTATTGCAAAATCATAACACTTCACTGTTCAAACACATAGGATTTTTATGGTTGTCCAACTGAATTTAGCGCCTGCCACTTATTATAGAACATTACCTTTAAGAGAGACTTGCAGCTGGTATTGATGGCAGGCAACAATGCATCTGTCACCTAGCCTTCTGAGCAACACTTATCCAGGTGCAAATATAAATTACCAGATACTCATTGGAAGGAAAAAAAAGGCAACTATTATTTGTTAGTGAACAAAGGCGCTCCTGATACGGTTTTGCATGTATGAAATTTCCTAGAGGGATCAGAAGCAGACAGCTAAACCACCTCAGAGACGGCCGTTTCCATAGGCTATACTGGGAACTACATATTCATTGGTAGGATGTGGGGAAATTTTGCAGAAATACTGAAGCATATTAGGAGCTGCAGAAATAAGTAAATTGGAATTAGTCATCCACTTGAAGATTTAAATTAGGTTGCACTTAGGTCAGATAATACTGTTGAGATGCACAGAATGCACTTCTTCCATGCAGCCTTCTCTATCATTCTTTAAACATTTGTTATCTCCTCAGTTATGCTGTTCTATTTTGGATGTGTCCTCAGAAAGAAAGTACTAACAGGACTAACAGCTGCATTCAGCAGTATTCTTCTATGCCTTAGCAATTTTAAACAACTACACTGCTCCTCCTGGGTTGCAAGACAATTAATGTATGTGCTAGCAGTACCTACTGTTTCTTAATTAATAGAATAGTTGCAAATATTGCCAGAGATGAAGTCATAAGAATTGTTTAATTACATAAGCTAGCAAAAATTAGCTGCTACTAAGATTATTCTTGACTGGAATGTGTCTGCGAGGGCAAGTGAGTGTTCATATGACAATAGCAGAATACCCTGTTCTGTTCAAGAAGCTAGGACCATTTTACTGGATCTCAATTTTCAGGAAAGCATGAAGGCAAGATGCTCATCTCATCTCTTAACTGCTTTGGCGAATTGCAGCTATTTGGTGGTAGGACCAATAGCTTATTTCTGAGACAGCTCTGTAATCTAAAACTTTAAGACAACTGAACGTGCATATTTGTATTGCACTTAATTAGAACTAACGGTAAGACACGGATAATTTTTCACCTTATTTGAACTACCACTCTGATCTAGAGCCAGCAAGTAACTATGCTGTAACCAGGGACTGTAGCTTAGAAGTGACTAAACAGTAAATGCTGCAACCTTGTTAAATCATGAAAAATTTATTTTCATTACATATATATGAAGGTAAAAGATTTCAGTCAATAGTGTTTTGAACAAGCATTTCTGACACGAACCTGTTAGTGTAGCTAGGCTGAACTTAATGTAAAGTTAGTGTTTTGCCTTTATTTAGTAATTATTTTCTAGTGTGCGTATATACAGAATTCATTTCCTGTTAGAATACCAGACAGTAATATTGCAACATTTACATTCCTCATATAAAATGCTGTAATATACATTTTCAGCTCAGTGTAGATATATAAATATGTACAAAATAAACATTATTGTAATTAATATATTCAGACCAGGTATCATTTAGCAACATCAAAAGCAGATGCACATAGATTTAAGTGAAAATGGTGAAAAACACCTTTATGGCATTAGTGACCATTATTTGCATATATGAACTAGTACAGATAAAGGCTTCTCTTTTAAGCCTTCTGTGGGCATCCAATAACTTCAGTAAAAACAAAAGTAATTGAGAAGCTTAATATATATATATAGATAATGTGTCATGATCAGATGGTTTACTAGGGTCCATCTTGATCACAAATAGATAACCATGTAAAACATACACGTTTGTTCAGAGCATAAAATATTGCACAAGAGCAATTTCTTTTGAGGAAAATAATTCCTGTTTGTGAACAGCAAAAATGGTTCTCACACATTAAAGAAATGATATATTTGCAGTTTCTAAACCAAGGAACATTCAGTAATACTGTCAGAACTGTCATCCATGAACTTCCTCCCAGCCTGTTTTATGGCAATGGTGTATCATTAGCAAGATTTGGCAAAGAGAGAAGGCAGATAGACAGTACATGTATATATTTATCACAGGCCAGACCAGATCCAATGGTTACTTAACTGAAACTATCCAGCAGCTGGTTTTTCTGACAATTTCACCCTTAAAAGAAATATGAAGGTCTTCAATGCTAGTCACAGTGATAATCACACGGTAGTAGAGTAAGATTCCATTCTTCTCTGCTTGGAAACCATCTTGTCCGAGTTCTCAGTGTGAAGGGCACTTTCCTCAGTATCACTGTCACTGCTGTCTACAACTGTGTGATCCAAAGCCATCTGACCAGTCCTCCTATGTAGATGAAAGTTCACCCCACTCTCCTGTATGGAGTTAGTTATAAAATCTTCATCAGAAGAATGAAATGATTCATCATCTCCTGTGAAATGGTTGACAATGTGAATCCCATCAAAAGTGGGTTGGTCTGAGAAGTCTCTCTGGCCTTTGAGACATTTGATCTGTTAGAAAAAGCAGAAGTTAACAGTTAATCAGAGTTGAAGAGTTCGGTAGTAACAAAAAACCCCTTCAGAACCCCAAAAAACCCACCCCCAAAACAAAACCCAAAACAGAAAAAATAACCCAAAATGCATTTCTAGAAAATATATTATTGATGTCTTACTGGATCAAATTCTACAAGTAGCACATCTGAAAATCAGCTGGGATGAGAATAAGGTGATTTCTTACTTAAGGCTGCCCACGGACAGACCTTGAAAGAATGTCTTAAATAGTACTTGGAATTTTCCAAAATTCTCCTTCCACTCCTAGAGCATTTCAGTTTTAAGGTTTAATAATCAAGGTACCTAGAATCACTAATGACAGATTCTTCTGGGCTATTTACTGCATCTTTAATATCCCCACAAGGATGGTTTATAGTTAGTTTTCAGAGTGACCTATTTGTTCTGACATCCTACTTTTACAGCTCCATTTTTTCCCTCCTTATCACCTAAAGTCTCATTTGAGAAAAGTCCTCCCCCAATCCCAAAGAGCAGGGTCCCAAGCATATATTGCCAGTTCCACATAGCCGTAAGAAAGAAACCCAAAACCAGAGAATATGCTTAGTTCTCTCCACACTGCGAGATATTAGTGTCTTTTCATTATCTAGATCAGACCCAATAAGCTTTCAAATCAAGAAGCATGAAACTTCTCTTTGTAAAGCATAAACAGATTGTAGTTCCTGTTTTAAGAGAACATCAAACAAGAAAAAAATGATTTTCAGACCATGACAAATATAATAACACTTAAATTCAAAGCACACTGCAAAATGATAAACTGTTACAACCATGCATTCAAGCTATTCAAAAGTAAAACTGAAAGCTCTGAAATCTGACAAGTCCCTGTTAATTTAGGGAAAATAACTGACCTCACTGAAGTAATCCTGAGGCATGGGTTTGTTTTCTGGTTTGGTTTTTTTTTTTTTTAGAATAATTTCAGTTTTGCTAGTTTTAGTAGCAACTACATCACTGTCAGCCTGACAATTTAACAGTATTAAGCTAAAAATTCCAAGGATGCAGAAAAACATTAAAAATGCATTATAGCAACTTCATAATGTCACTCTGGAAGCTTAAAAAGGATGATGCACCAAATGCTATTTTGTGAGTGACTTTTCACAGTGAGAAAGACCTGGAAAAGAAGTAAAGGCCTGAAGAGCTTCTTCACATAAATCTATTAGTAGTTTCAGACATCTGAAGCAATATTCAATTTAATAAAAGTGCATGTAGGTCCTTGCTATTGACACCAACAGAAGATTTTACCTGTCCATTCAGGGAAGAAGGAATCTCTGTACTTACCATGGGCTTGTGCAAAAGATGAGAATAAAAAGGAGTTGAAAAAAGATCAAAAGTCATCATCACATTAGAAGCCATCAAATCAGACATTAACAGCATATAAAAGCTCCAGCTTTTA